TTTTGCATGCGGGCCGGGGGTTGATGTTTTGGCTATGTTGAGATGTGGGAGGGTTCGTGGTTGGTTGAGTGGCTGCTTGTGTGTGTGAGGTGGGTGCAGTTTCTCGGTAGGGGCCCCAGACAGAGCTGTCGGTTATGGGTGTGGTGTTTGTTTGTGGGATGGTGTTTGGGTGTGGTGTAGGGAGGAGTGGTTTGGATGCGGGTGTAGCAAATTTTCGTGTTTGGATTTTGGCCGTGTCTATGTTTATGTGTTTGTTGGCCTGCTGGGTGAGTGTGTGTCTGTGTGGGCATTGGTTTGAAAGGGAAGTGTGTTGGATGGATTTGCAGTGGATGCACCAGGGTGTGCATGTGCCTTGGCAGTATGTTTGTGCGCATTTTTTACATTTAGTTTTAGGGTATGTGCATTCGGAGGCAGTGTGATTGTATTTGAGGCACTAAACCCAGATCAAAGCGGCTTCACTCCTGGCCGCTCAACCCTAGATAACCTCGCCCGACTAGAGCAAGATATTAAGAGAGGAAAACTAAATAAACAATATACCACAGGCATCTTCTTAGACTTCTCTAAAGTTTTCGACATGGTATGGCACGACGGGCTAATACAAAAACTTTAAAAAATAGGACTCAAAGGTCAGATAATAAACTACATCCAGGACTTCCTAAACAATCGTAAAATAACCGTGGGTATAGACCAAACACTATCGGACCAATGTCCCCTAGAAAATGGCACTCCCCAGGGCGGTATCCTCAGCCCCACCCACTTAAATATAATGATAAACGATCTATTCGATGGCCTATCCCCTTAACTAAACACATCAAAATTCGCGGATGATCCGCACTAAAAGCATTAAAAGCATTAAAATGGCCTAATAATTACTCCAAAAATCTCTAAATAAAATACAACAATGGGCTGACAAATGGGGCTTCTCCCTTAACTCAGAAAAAACAACAGGAATAGTATTCAAACTCCCCAGTTAGAGCCAGTTAGGCATCTTAGGGTGTTTAGGCCTTTACTGCATTTAGTTGTTAGGTTTTGGATGTTAGCATCCCAGGTGAGATGTTCATCGAAAATAAGTCCTAAGAATTTGGTTTGTTTTTGAAATTTGATTGTTTGGTTGTTTAGCTGGCTTCTGATGGAGACGATGTTTAGTTTATATGCTAGTCGTTAGGTATAAAGATTGTTTAGTAACTTTAGAAGTTCTAGGACAGTTATTAACACGTGTCGTGTCAGCCCTATGACATTCGCGATTGTCAACTTCCAGAAAACATCCTGTGTTGGTTTAACATGAATTAGTAAAGGTTAATTAGGGATGTCCAACACGTTAATTAATGTCAAAACACTGTCATTTCCTGCCCAGGATATCGCACCCCTAAACGCTAAGGTCGGTGAGAAACATTCTCATCAAAGAAAACAAACAGTGAAGACTGTAGATTCGGTTACAGGCCGGCAAAGCCACATTTCGAAAATAGATAGCCCAAATTGATGTGGCTCTCGCGGCAATGGTTATGGTTGCGTGATTGTATAATGTGGCTCTCGCGGCTATGCTGTCAAAACGTGCTTTGTGATTCTAACAGGTTACCGTATATAACAAAACAAGTCTTGTTTTCTCATTTTTTATTCAACAAGGATAACATATTCATCAAAACTTTACATTGATGAATATGAATAGCATATGAATATCATAATGGATTTAATGTCATTACTGCAGATGAAGGAGGTCGCCCACGTGGTCAGCATATTCCATCTCACTCAGGTGTTGGTTCAGGAGCTGGATCTTGAGGGACGCAATACGTGCATGGATTGCCTTGTACTTCTTTCTTCGTGGAGGTTCTGACCACTGGTGAGAGAGTCTCAGGACTGCAACCTCTTTGAGTGACTGCTCTCGCTGAAATAGCTTCACTACCTCGTAGATGTTCGGGTGACACTTCTTGGCAAGTTTCTTTATCTTGTTGTGCCACCCTTCCAGGTGATTGTTGGTACGGTGGCCTTGGCTTTCGAAATGGTTCCAAATCTCTGGCATGAAGGCCCATCCTTGAACCCAACTGGTTGTCACGTAGTCCATGAAGGCAGTCACTTTAGGTGAGGTGGGTGAGTCAGCAAGGGCATCAAGTCACACATCATCCACTTTGTCACGAGGTACTAGAGGGAGGGCAGCAGCTCTTCTCACCAGCTTCTTCACCTCCTCATCTTCCTTATAGTCCATCACCAGACCTTCTTTCTGCACCCTCCTCCAGATACATGATACAATGTTCTTGTCTGTAGTGAAGATGAGGATGTCGTCACTAACACGGTGTAGGAACTGGTCGCCTCCCTCAGTCTGGGAGTACTTCTCCTCCAGCTGGATCTGGGGTCTGCTGTCAGGAAGGCGGGGCAAGGTCTTGTGTCTCTGGCGGTAGAGGATAGTGGTGAGAGACTTCAGGGCTGGTATCTGCTTCAGGGGGTCATCTGAAACAATGTCGTGATGTTGGCGTAGTCTGGATATCTCCTCTCCGTAGATAGTGGGTATAGGGGTCGTTTCTGTCCTCGCTCTCTCCATCAGTCTAGCCTTAAAGGCATCAACCTCAAACTCGGATGATAGTTGGTCGTGGGAGTGACCCATGACCTCAATGGCGTGGAGCAACTCAGACTGCTCTTAGACCAAAACTTAAAGCCATCATAGTACAAATGTACGCCTCCTCTAACACTTTCAATGAACTTTATTTGAACTTGTGCGTTTGCCATGGTTCTGATATGGAGTGAACACGACGTCACTTAAATATGTTATGAATAGCAGGATGAACTCAATGTCAATTAAGACCGCCTTTGATCTCTAAAGAACACCACAATTAGTAATTTAAATGTGGGACACTCATTTAAAGGTATCTCTAAAGAACACCACGCTTAGTAATTTAAATGTGGGACACTCATATAAAGGTATCGGTAATCGGATTAATTAATTACCCGCTAGAATAGGTGAAATGCACTCAGCTGAAAATGTGGCTCTACCGGCAATAGCCATTTCTGAAATGTGGCCCTCCCGGCTAGACACCGTAGATTCCCGTCGTCTAGCTACAAATCCTGTGATGTATTAAAGGTTGAAGAACTTTGAACTGAACTGTCCGAAAGTTTATATCTAAAATTTTGGAATTGGATACAGTGATAAAGTCTTATATCAATATGTAGACTCATAAATATTGGTTTTATGTTTTAACGGAGATATGATATTTTCTTATGAAATATCGCGTATTAGTGTTATTTGCATGCTTTACCATTCATTGTACCGTTCTAAACCATGTGAATGTTGTAATATCAGTCAATCGGGTGGGCAAACAGCCCAATCCTCGCCCTATAAAGGGGTATGTCAATCATTTTGCAATTTTAAATGACCCCTGATACTTTATGAATACTTTATGACAGTTTATGGAGTCAAAATCAATGCTGATTATTCATAAACTTATTGCTTCGTACTATAGGCCTGTGGCCTCTTCAGTGCTGAATAAAGATTGAAAATACATCAGTCAATCAAAGATGAAGGTAACTTTATACATCAGAGTTCTTGAGAATTAGTTCATGTTTTGTTCTTAGACTTACATTTCAACCATCGATTGTGTTCACATGTAGACTCAAACTGTCATATTAAAAAAATGTATACAGACAACAAAAACTGTATTAGAAACAACAAACTCTGTAAACTTTTAAGCATAGTTTTTGTATAGCATTTCAAAAGCCTGGTTTGTTTGCATTAAAATCAAAACAAAGGAATCTGTAATTAAAATGTGTAAGGTGAAAAAGCTTTTACATAAAAGAGCAAAATACATGGGGGAGAGTAAATATATAATTCTGTATAACTTTTCTTGAATGGAGCACATTTGAAAAAAAAGATAATCCAAGCACTTTTCCTTTCGTTTTTCATAATCATATTAAGTTGTATATAACGTATGAATCCCTTCTCAGATTCACCGCCAGCCCGATTATAACAATTACATGATCACTTTGCTTTGTCGATGCCGGTTGATGTTGTTCAATACAGGCTGATAGTGGGTGTTTTTGAATCTATTCTACATGCTAATCATTTCGGGAAGATGATACACATTTCTCTATATTTTTGGTTACTTTGCTTATATAATTTCCGATTATCATTCTTAGTTTTACCTTTTCGCTTCTGCTGCGGTGATATCCATCCGAATCCAGGACCTTTGCATAGTCCAGATTTAAAGAATATACATCTAAACGTACGCAGTTCTTAAAGACAAAGTAGATTTTATCAGTGCTGAATTAGATTAGTTATGATGTTGTATGTTTAACAGAAACCTGCTTGCACCATGATATTCTAGCCACTGATCTTACACTGATACCATTTTCATATCGTAGCCTGTATTAAGGAATATATTTTAGATCTAAAATCAGAGTATAACGGACAGCCTGAGCTGGAGGCGCGCGTGGATATATTGACAGTATTTACGTAGTTAGTGTTAAAACTGAATGTTTGCGAGGATTAATAAGATTTCTGAATTCTGTTACAACAGTAACCGTACATGTATTTGTTACATTAAGTCATTTCATTCAAATTTGTTTGGTATGATTATGTCTTATAATTATTTTAGGATGGAAGGTACAGTTACCAAATAAAATATGCTGAAATATCAATTCATTATGACCATATTTCATAATCTATTTTTTAAAGTAACCCTCCTTACATTAAAGATAACTATTTAAAGAATATAGTACTTAAAGACATTGCAACAAACCGAATAATCAGGGGGGAGACTTTATACTGGCGCGAAACATATCCGCCCGGGGGAGATTTTATTTCAGAACAGATTCTCCGGGGGAGAATTTGTACCGGTATAAAATCTCCGGGGGGGGGGGGGAAGTATTGTACGGGGGAGAGTTTATACTGGGACACCGGCCGTATGGAACTCTGGTTAGGAGAGTGTGCAGCGATATCTACACTAGATATCGCTCGATCTCACCCAGGCGATATCTCCTGTGAGAGCCAGTTTTGGATGATAAAGCGCACTTACCTTCGCCTCAGCGAACGACGCCACTGTGGTTGAGATCCAGTAGCAGGAGTCCCCGTGACGAAGGAATCCCAGAGGACACCGGCCGTGTGCTTGTTCGGAAAAAAAGTGATTAAACCACAACTATTACGTCGTCACTTTATCATTTTAATGGCCTATTTTTTTCACGAATGAACAGTTGGCTGTACGCGAGTCATGCCTACGACACAGCGTGGTCCGGTGTATCACGGGATTACATTGATATTTAAAATTAATTTGTGATGCTTTCGGCAAGAAAAGACTGAATCTCAATTTGTAGCATCTTGCCAATAAGTTAATTGAGTAAACGCTATACAAAAAATATTGTGCATTATTTGCATATTGGGATCAGATCATGAGAGAGACAACTCGCATCTAGCGAGGAAATATTACGATATACGAGATTGAGACGTTACGAGATATATCCCGTGTATATTGTCAGAACATCAATCATTCATACATCTGCAAGACTCGTATTACAACATTCATTTTGTGAGATCATGATCAACTGATTGACGAGTTTGATATTCGAGGTCTGATTGATAAGTTCTGAAACTCACATTGACCTAAAGATATTAAAATAATTTAGTTTTCAACATAATCCCTTCCACCTTGATACACTTTTGCCAACGTAGAAGTCCTCATGACTGTCCATATCTTTCCCCACACCTGCTGTGACGTCATCGTTCGTGTAGAAATGGGTTTCGGCTAGTGCTCTTCTCGTGTTTGGGACCACAAAGTTGATTGGTTGGTTGATTGTTTAACGCCGCACTGAGCAATATTCCAGCTATAGGACGGCGGTCTGTAAATAATCGCGTCTGGACCAGACGATAAAGTGATTGACTTCTATGAGCATCGATCCACGCAATTGGGATACGATGACAAGCATCAACCAAGTCAACGAGCTGGTAGGTGGCGGACCCCGTTAGTCGCCTCTTATACGACACTATAATCGCCAAATAATTGTTATCAAGCCAGAAGTGAAGAGACGAACTGACGGTGTTACACATGTCCAAAGCTCACTTTTAGGTTCAAGCATCTGGACTTAATGGAGACCATAATTGACTTTAGTTTTATGAGATATTTTCTCTTGAGAACATGGCGATGTGCCTTGGAGTAAGAAAGGCAATGCACTCCGCTGAAGTAGACAGAATTAATACATGAATTACCTGCAGCCAGTGATGCAAATGTGAGCAGCAGGAATGATACGACTTCGAGTCTCATGCTTCTGGTTGGCAGCGTCAGACTTGAATATTGGGAGGCACAGCTATATTATAGGTTATACTTGCAGCAAGGCAGTAGGTGCGAGTGAGGATGTACGTGGCTTCAACAGCTTTCATAACATCATGTTACCAGTAAACGAGATGATATTCTGGTCTGACGCCTTCACTGGGCAGTTACGTTAACTTGGTTGCAGTATCTATGCATGGTGGCAGGACATTTGGGATGCTTGATGGTGTCAGATCCTGTTAGTTTATTCCACAGCAGCTGTATCAACACTCGCAATAATGATTTATATCAAGTTATTCATTTCGTTAAACCTTTACGTCACATCGGCAATATTTCAGCCATATCGTGACGAGAAATTTCACTTTTTAATACATGTGTTTTAACTAAATTAAAACCTGTCATCGATGGACAGTAAAATTACTAGAATATCACAGATTAATATTTAAAACTAGCATACAAGTATAAAAGATATCACTGTATATAACGGTACAATATAAAAAGGGCTATAGATGCTAGCAGCTTAAGGTAGATCACCATGCTAGGGTCCATGGGGACTTACTGTACTTTTGTTACCTGCATGGATCCCAGCCGGATTTACATCATCCCTTCAGCTGTTGGCGATTAATGACAAATCTAGCCAGAATAAACGAACATATATACTACGTCTAAAAACGAGCAGAAATAAACATACTTTGAAAGACGTGGTCTTACATACCCTCTCAGGGGGAAAATAATTTTACACTACTTTAACCCCCTTCGAGGATATAGCCACTAACAATCTCAGTTACTGATTAATTCTACTAATTATTAAAGTTATTTATTTATTTACAAAATATAACAATAACAATTTATGAAGTAATTCGATTTCCTTTAAAAAAACAATAATTATATGACTATTTACCTGATAAAAAAGATCCTTGATACATGATACTTTGAAATATTTATCCCTTGTGATGGAAAAATCAATGCAATCAAGCAGGACATGCTTGATCGTGATTCTTTCATCCCAAGGGATGCAGAATGGAGGATCCTCACCTTTTAATAAATATTCATGAATATATCTAGAATGGCCAATACGACATCGTCTTAATACGACCTCTTCAAATCTGGACTGACAACCCAAGTAGGTATAACCGATATTTACTTTTATTGCATGTTATTTATTTATACCCACTTGAGCAAGTTTTGAAACATGAGGACGAACTGCAATGAATTAATACTCAAGATAATACACAAAATAACTTTTTCATATAAATATCGATATCAATAACTGAAATCAATACTATATATGTTGAAATGGCTTCACATATTGTTCAGTATCTTAACTCCCACAAACGAGTTTTAAAATGGGATGGGCTCCGAATAAGTCGCACCTCCAATGTTCTGGGATTTATGACCGCCTCCGTGGTCTAGTGGTAGAGCGGCCGCCCGCAGAGCGGAAGGTCCAGGTTTGATCCCCGGCCGCGCCATACCAAAAAACCGTTAAAAGGTGGTACTTGTTATTACCATGTCTGGCACTCGGCATTAAGGGGCTAAACAAGGACTGGTCGGCTCGGAGCCGGTACACTGTGTCAGAGTGGGGTATTCATTTTAAACTGCGGCACGACTAAGGGACTAATAGCAGCCTGGTGACAACTTGACATAGCCGAGTTTAAAACTTTATTAAAACAAATTTACACATGTCATGAGGGAAAGCACCAAATAATCACACATTAAAACAGCCACGTGGTTTATCATGGTTTTGACTGCTTTTAGCTGTATATTAAGAATATCAGAAAATCAGACAATGTGACATGTTAACAATCGAATCTAACCCTTCAAACACTTCAACGAGGATGATGTCACCTCAAGGTAAAACGTACCCTTGCCCCTATGGATTAATATGCTATACTACTATTTCGTATTATTATTTGCCTACTGATATATGACAGGGCTGTGGTATGGGAGCGTATTAGTGCAACAGTCTCAAATATAGCATCTACGTATATAGAGGTTATCACGCGAGAGTAACTTGGCCTGTTCTGTCATAACGTTAAGAAGTTCAGTCAGATGTAGCACCAAAACGAAACAAGGTAACAATTCATACATATTTAGCCTAAATCCATCTATTTTTATTTGTGGAAAAGGTTTCAAGCCTCAGAGGTCTAAAAGCACACATATGGCTACTGATCCCGCTTGGCGAGGCCAAGTGCCCTGGCAAATAGTTTCGAAATTTATATCTCCAAAGTTGCCAAAACTTATAAAATGCCTTAGTTACGTCTCATTCGACACTGATTCTCAGTATATAAGACTGTTCTTTTGATAATTGTAGCAATTATCCCTGTAGTTTATCCAGATTCACGATGTTTAATTCTGACTCGATCGCCGAATGACAAGTGCGACGCCATGTTTGTTTATAAACACTGAAAGTAGTCCCTTGACCTTTGATTTTTGCATCTCTATCCGCATATGAGTGAGTGAGTATGGTTTTACGCCGCTTTTAGCAATATTCCAGCAATATCACGGCGGGGGACACCAGAAATGGGCTTCACACATCGTACCCATATCGGGAATCGAACCCGGGTCTTCGGCGTGACGAGCGAACGCTTTAACCACTAGGCTACCCGACCGCCCCTATCCGCATATGACCCCAACGGATATAGTTTTTATCCGTTGGCTTTATCCTGCCGAGAAACCTACCCATTATATGATAAATAATATTATCTACTATTATCTACCTTTAGCGGAGCTGAAGAAATCACTCGAATATGTTGTTTGTCATTATTTCTCCATTACAGAAAATAGGTTTAGGAGGTAAAACGTGAATATGAAAGCATGAGAATTAAAAATAAATATAAAAAATATTTAAAAAAACCCTTTTTCAAACCCGTCATCTAACGAAGCACTGAAAGTATAATTCTGCAGTTTGTGTTTTTATTTCAGAGCTAATTGATCGACAATTTGAAATGATCCGGGTACGTTATACAAATATGGAAAGGCCAAATAAACACACTGCCAAACATTTAATTAGTGAGAGAAGAGAGAGAAAATATTGTTTATTAAAGTGTCACATGTTATATACACTTCGTAATACGATATATACAAAACAGTAAAATATAACATCCGGCCAAATATGACCTACGAGACACTATAAAACATATCAATCATAAAACTATTCAGTTGAAACAGAATAACTCCCGACACCGCGTTGCGCCGCCCACACACCACGTCATACATACATACATACATACATACATACATACATACATACATACAAGTCATACATACATACTTGGCTTAAAATGAAATTGCCTTCTTTTAACCATGTTGTAAATTGATTTGGCTAAAATACATTGGAGCGATTCTTCGTTCATAATAGAAATAAACTTTTCTAAACTACTCATATAATGAAATGTTTTATCTACAGAAGTTGCTTCTTTAGCTAAGTTGTATCTTAAATCATCATAAAATGGACATTCTATTAAAAAGTGACATTCATCTTCAACATAATTTACATGATCATTAGTAGGATTGGCGTGACAATATTTACAAGTCCTATCCAACAGTGGGGTAGGTGGCTTGGCGTAACGGCCGGTCTCAACATGTAAAGGTAAAATACCACATCGAAAGGATGCTAAAAGTCTTCGATGATCTCTAAAACGTACATGACATAAATAAGGCTCAGCAGTAGTTGATGATTTGTACATTCTGTATGTGCGTAATTTATTGCCATTTGGATTATTCTTGTCATTCCAAAGCGCAGTATACCACATATCACAATCTTCAGCAGTTAAGAAACACTTTACACGGTCAACACACTGTTTAATGCTGTATCCACAATAAGGTAAATTTGACAAATTATAGTGAGCTAAAATGTTTACGATTTTTTTATCCCAGGATTGTGATCGGATTTTGGACCAATTATGAATGATAAGAGGGAGATGATGGGCCTGCATATTCTGAATTCTAAAATATAATCTAAAGCATTCAACGTGCTGTGACACTTTCACAGAACACCAGCCCATGTCCCCCCTCATAGCAGTAACTGGGGCATTTTTTCTTACGCCTAGAAACAAACGACAAGCCTTATTTTGAATTATTTCTACTTCCTTATACTTATTCAAACCCCAAATGCCAGCACCATAAAATAGAACAGGTTCTACAAGAGCTTTATAAAGCTTGTTAAATACTTCGTAAGACATGCCACCCGCGTGTTTAAACTTTGAATACAACGCAGAAAGAGCTCTGCTAGCCGATTTACACAGTACCTGGACTGTTTTGTGCATATCTAAATGCTCATTAAAAGTTAAACCAAGATATTTGTAAGAGCTTTCATAATCAATAATAGATTTGCTGCATACAAATACTCCCTCAGATCTAGCCACAGATTTGTTTCTGAAATGCATGATTTTGGTTTTGTCTGAATTAATATCCAAACGCCATTTTTGACACCATATATTTAAAACATTTAACATTTTCTGTAACGAGTCTTCGTCTTCAGCTAACAAGGCTATATCATCAGCATACAACAAAACTGATAACACAGAACTTTCAATAGGTATGCCACAGTTTAACTTATTCATGTCTAACACCAAATCATTAATATAAACGGAAAATAACGTTGGCGATAACTTGCATCCTTGTTTAACGCCCAAGGTAACATTAAAAGATTCAGTGATAAAACCATTGAGCTTAACTGCACACTTTACGTCCATATATAAGGCTTGTACAGCTTGTAGCATTTTACCATGAATACCAACATAAGCTTGTACCAGTAATCAGCTAATAAACTAGTGTCCAACTAGGGTCGCAACTTCACAAGACAATATCACTGTCTGAGTAACGAAACGTATATATAATATATAAAGTCGCATACGTAGACGAAAGTGTAATGGTAGTATGTTTGGAGACTATACAGCATGGAAGCATGTTTGTACCAATCAATACCACAGACATATATACTGCAGCGACCGAGCGTTCATACACTCACCATAGATTAAGAGCGGTGACGGTTGCAGTAGACGGGTGTGGTAGGCGGGGCGGTGTACAGCTGCGGCAAGGGTGCCTGTAAACGTTGAGATTGTGATGTCATTTCTCATATACCTGAACACGAACTTAGAACTGAATTGACCAAAGGATTGT